ACTATGGTTCTGACTTTGCTAGACTCATGGAGATCTCCTGTTTATAGGGACATCATAAGTCAAAGCTGATTTGATAACAAGATGAAATACACAATGGCCCACACATGCAAATAAATAACTTCTGCATTCAAATTCAGTGACACCTGGCCCTTTTGTTCCCCAGTATCATGTGGGAAGCCCTTTATAGTTCATTAATTGATACCCAGAGGTCTCCTGAATTCAGCAGCTGAAGGTTGGTGTGTGGGAAGAGGTGTAGGGATTGGCAGTAGAAAGAAAGAAACTGAAAAGTCTCAGTATACTCAGTATACTTTTCCAAAGAAAAGTCTTTGGAACTCAGCCATAGGCTATATTAATGTCAATTAAAATTTGAGAACTGAAATCACCATCTGAGCATTAATTAAGATTATTTTGCTAATCCTGGCTTGCTCAACCCTAAAATCCAGGAAGCAGAATTTTGTAAGGCTATTGAACTTCATAGGTTTAGCAAACTTTGAAAATCCATCCGTTCTTTTTCCTGCCAAATAGAGAGAAGGAATCAAAGTGGAAAAATGTTTGTCCTAGGCCCCATCTGCTCTACATAGATCAGTGTTATCGCAGGTTAACTTGCATGGTTTCCTCCTCAACTCTTGAGAATTAAGCCTAGAAATACTGGTAAGCAGGCTCTTGAACTGCACCGTTTCTTGAGAAGTGGGAATGACTGTTCAATAATACTTCTACACTTTGCGCCCTGAGATGTTGCACTGCATGCTCTCTATTGGCTAGGCTGGTTGTGGATGTCAGAAGTTGAAGTCCATTACATTATACATGCTAGCACTCCCTACTAGGAGGACTGGCTGGCCAGTGATGGAAAGAAGGGAAAACGGAAAGAAAGAGAGGAGGAAGGAAGGGTGAAAAGGAGGAAAGGAAGGATGGAAGGAGAAATAGGGAGGAAGGGAAGGAGGGAGGAAAGACGGAAGGAAGAAAGGAAGAAAAGAAAGAAGGAGAAAGAGGAAGAGAKGGAAGGAGGGAAGAAAGATGGAAGGAGGAAGGAAGGAAGGACAAAAGTGTAGAAGGGAAGGAGGAAGGAAAAAGAGAAGGAAGGGTAGAAGGGAAGGATGGAAGGAGAAAGAGGGTGGGAAGGGAGGAGGGAAGAAGGAAGGAAAGAGAGAAGGAAGAAAAGACAAAAGGGAGGGAAGGACAAAAGGGTGGATGGATGGAAGGAAGGAGGGAAGGACAGAGGAAAGAAAGAAGGAAGGAAGAGCAAAAGCGTGGAAAGGAATTGAAGGAGGGAGAAAGGGAGGGAAGAAAGAGAAGGAAGAAATGACAAAAGGGAGGGAAGGAGGGAAGGACGAAAGGGTGGAAGGGAAGGCTGGATGGAAGGAAGGAAAGCCAGGAGGAAGGAAAGAGAAGGAAGAAAGGGCAAAAAGGTGGAAGGGAATGGAGGGAGGGAGAAAGAGGGAGTGGAGGGAGGAAAGGGAAGGAAGGAAAGACAAAAGGGAAGGAAGGAAAAAGAGGGAGAGGATGGAAGGACAAAAGGATGGAAGGGAAGGAGAAAGAGGGAGTGAGGGAAGGAGGAAGGAAAGAGAAAAGGAAGGAAGGATAGGATCGTATGAGAGAAGAGGGCCTGAGAAAAGAGCCCAGGAGGCTGCATTCAGCCCCTGGGCCTGGGTTTACCCATACCTGGTTTAACTGCATTGAATTGCATTATATGGCAGTATAGATTCATATAATGCAATTCAATGCAGTTAAACTACATGATGAAACTGCATTATATGACAGTGTAGATGGGGCCTATGTCTTTTGCATTTTAGGAAAGGAGTTCTATTGAACAAACCTACATAATTTCCCAGCCACTTTGACTATTCCCATCTAATGCTTGCCCGCTACATTACTTCCTGCTCACATGGTCAGCAAAAACTACGTACGTTCTTTCATCTCAAGGTCTATAGAGAAATGAATATGAAGTATGTCGGTCATTTATTCTTATTCTTCATTTTAATTATGCAAAAGCTTCCTTTGCAGGTTTGCCTCCACAGTTTCTCATGAGCATTTATTTCATTCCTTGGAGATCAGAAGAGAGAGTTTTATATAAATCTGGATGGAAGGTCTAATTTGGAGGGAGGGGGACAAAGGAGGTTGCTACTGCCCAATGCCAATGTGAAAACTACATTGTATATTTCCCTGTGAATAATATGCTGGATGTGCCTCCCTTCTTTCCCTTCTTGTATCCTGACTACTTCCTTCTACTTCCTATCACAGAGGTTGCTATAATATCATCCATCTCTGGTCTTGAAGCAATTGCACTGACTTTCAGTTTGTTTCTGAGCTCAATAAATCATTCTAGATTCATCCTAGAAAGCCCTAAAAGCCTTGGGGGCCAGATATCAGACAGACATGTTCTGCCTGTACCTGCTTGCTTGGAATCTGGGTTTGCTGTACATCCCTTCACCCGGATACACCGAGTACTTGAGAAATGACTCTCCCTGTAGCAGGACCTCAGGTGTAAAACACTATGTAATCAGCCTGGCTCCATCTTTCTTGAGTTTTTAGCAAGCAGTTAAAACAATACCATTCTGTTGGGACATTTTTTTGAAACTGGCTTTCAAATTAATATTTAGAATGGCCGTACAACTACCATTTTAAAAGGATATTTTATATGTCTTGTTTCATAGCGCTCCAGAGACTCTGATATGTAAGGAAGTGATTAAGAAATGCTTTTTTGAGATATATAAATAAATACCTGATTCAGGAAAGCTATGGGTAGAATATCATTAAGCGCAATGAGGCAACTAAACAGCTTCAGGTTGCTGAAGGAAGAAGGTATCAGTGATAGGTCACTAGCTCAATTTCCTGAACCATGTTTTTCTTTTCAAGGACAAAGCTATGTGTGCTGTACAGTAATCTTCAACTTCCACTCCAGTTTCCTTCTGTGTGTGGGTTGGAGGAGGGTGCTACTTTGTTTGGCCTCAAAGAAGAAATATTGTGGGTCTATTCTGATTATTACCAGTAATTATAATTCTGTTCTTTATTCTTGGTGAACTTAGTTTCCTTTGTTTTCAAATCAGACTAACTACAATCTGTCTCCAAACAAAACTCCAAAAAGAGATTATTCCAGCACCAGAAAAACCTCCTTGCAGGAAGGACAAATGCAGTTGCCATGCTCTGTACCATCCTGGCATTTAACTTCAACTGCCTTTTTAAGTTAAACATTGTGTTTATCCAAAACGAACAATATGCCCTTGTGAAATGAAACAACTAGATCAAGTGAGCCCTACATAGACAAACAAAAACACTTTCAACTTTTGAGAGACCATTGAAAGTCTATTCCAAAATGCATCCAGAGACCTTTGTTATCTGTTTGGGTGGACAATAATATAGATCTATCTCACACCCCCCCTTTTTTTTTGTAAAAAAGGATACTAGGAGGAGCTGGTCAGGGAGGCTTCTCCATTATCCCCATTTTACATTTCCTGCATGCTCTGCAAGGAATTCTGGAGGGAGCTGCTGTTCGCCTTGCCTGTTGCAGACAGGCACACACAATTACAGTAGGAATGCATACAGCAACACTGCTTCTTAAACTGTTGGTCCTGAACCCAAATAGGGTCTCCTTTACTCAATGTTGGGGTTGCAAAATATTTGGCAATAATAAAAGGTTTCTGAATGCCACCCTTTTACACTAATCTGTTAGCAACAACATGCAGTGTTTAGAATATAATTTGCACAAAATGCTTCAGCTGTACTCCATAAAAGGGAAAATCAGCCTTGCAAATGCTGATTTATTATCAGTAATTGTTTGATTTATACCTGTTTTGCATGCCTATATACTTGGGTTCACGTACAAAATTCTCAGGCAGAAAAGGGTCACAAGTGATAATAATAATAATATTTATTTATTTGACCAGTCATATGACCATTTCAAGTGGAAATAGTTTAAGAAGCCCAGTAAAATCCTCTTTCCCCCACTTTAGTTATCATTGTATTGTTTACTGAAGACATGCTGCTTCAACTGGACACTGAAAATATACAAATATACATTTTGCGTTTGAATAGTAGAGGCAGAAATCAAGAATGAGACCCAATTTGTGTGAATGACAATGGACTGACCCAGACTATGATTTTAAGCCTACATGATTTTAAACTAATGTTTTAGTAATTTCGTGCTTTAATGAATTGTTTTAATTGCTATTATTATTTATTACTGTTGTTGACGTTGAATGAATGTCTGTTGTGAAGCTGCCCTGAGTCCCCCTCCGAGGGTGAGAAAGACGGGATACAAATATGTGAAATAATAAATAAACAAATAAACAAATAAATACATTTTTACATCCTTCCTTCACTATGTTCCCGTTGTCAATGCTGCTAAATATTCTAGCTAGACAAAAAATGAAAAGGAAAACTGTGTGATATGGGGTGGGGGTCTGATAGAAAAGGAGCTTTTTCTGTCAGAGGTTTTGTTAACTGAGGTATGCTTTCATAGTTAAAAATACATTACCATATAGAGATTTGAAGGGGGGGAAAAGAATAGACAAAATGCCTTTCAGGACAGAATCTGAGGAACATATGTTCAAAAGTGCCTGTAAAACACACGCTCTTTAAATGCAATGGCTTTGGGCATCTTTTCTGTTTTACCAGTCCAACACAAGCTGATGCACGTAACATAAAACAGCATCTCAACTTAATACAAACCCCCAGGCACACTATATTTATTTTCTTGGAAATTACTTGGAAGTCTAAATTGCTGTGGAAAAGGGAAACATCTACCTCCAAATCCTTTCCATGCCATTTTTGATAAGCAGAGAGTTGTCATACAGACATGCAGCACTTTAAAACAAACATTATAAAAGATATCCACTCATTTTGCTGCTTAGTTCAAATCCAAGCAAAATACAAAACATGCAAAGTCCAGGCTTAATCAGAGACAATTTTACTAATGTTGATGCAAAACCACACGTTTCCGATAAAGACAAAACAACAAGCTCAATCCAAGGCAGAGTGCAGAAAAAAGAAAGTGCAGTACTAACTCTCTGAGAGGATTCAATTTTCATCAAGTACCTTTGAATGTCAAGTTCTGAATGGAAGGAGACCAACATGCACTGCAAAGCCTGTGGATCAGAAAGAGGGAAAGAGAAAAGGAAGGGGAGGGGGAGAGAGAAAACAAATTAAAATAAACAAAAACAAAGCAAAGAGAGTGAGGAGAAGATGGAGAGCAAGCATAAAATGGAAATGTATAGCGATAAAAGAACAACAGCCTCAAAAAAGGATATGAATAATGAATAGATTTTTTAAAAGGATGAATGAAGAATTTAAATGATATCAGCATTTCATAAAAAAAAAGTATGAAGTATCTAATTATAAACATACAGCCACACTATTCAATAGTTTTCATATTTGGTTTCTCCGCTCTATATCTCTGGAGCCCCCAGTGGTGCAGTGGGTTAAACCTCTGTGCCGGCAGGACTGAAGACCAACAGGTCAGAGGTTCGAATCTGGGGAGAGCGTGGATGAGCTCAATTTATCAGCTCCAGCTCCCCATGCAAGGACATGAGAGAAGCCTCTCACAAGGATGTGGTAAAACATCAAAACATCCAGGCGTCCCCTGGACAAAGTCCTTGCAGATGGCCAGTTCTCTCACACCAGAAGCAACTTGCAGTTCACTCCTGAAATGACCAAAAAAAAAATAAAAATAAATCTCTGCTTAGTGGTAAAATATCAAAGCATCCGGGCGTCTCCTGAACAATGTCCTTGCAGACAGCCAGTTCTCTCACACCAAAAGCAACTTGCAGTTCGCTCCTGACACGATCAATATATATATATATATATATATATATATATATATATATATATATATAATCTGCTTAGTGGTAAAATATAAAATATCAAAGCATCCAGGCATCCCCTGGACAATGTCCTTGCAGATGGCCAATTCTCTCACCCCAAAAGCAACTTGCAGTTCACTCTTGACATGACCAAAAGAAAAAAATTTCTGCTTAGTGGTAGCTTCATATCAGTAGTGAAATGAATCCAGTTTTAGTTTAAATTTCCAAAGATCTATCCAAGGTACCAACATTCACCAATGAAATAGGCTCAGCACCCTAAATCGCTCCTTTAAAGTTCTTACTAAAATCTAGAGATTTGGCTTCTTAGTGACATTCCTCCAACATGTTGCCTCTTTCTTGCCAGTCTAATTAACCAACTGATTAAATTTACATACATGAACATGTTACTAAACTCACAATATATAAGTACTTTTCCAAGATAGCAAGGGACATATGAGATATTGATGCCACCAAATGTGCAGTCATGCAGTCAAATCACAATCAGAACAGTCCCTGCAAGCTTGCACTATAACTCAACTCCCATAAAATAAAGCTTTCACTAGTTAATACTTTAAATAAACCAGTTCAAACCTGCAGCCTTAACAACGACACTCAGCATCTAATTCCAAGACAAAGATATTACTGTTGAAACCCATCCAAGAATTAGCAATGGAAGGGGAGTCTAATAAAAACAATGGCTAGATTTAAATATGCAGATGCCGGTATTTCACAGGAAGGAGGCTGATTCTGGAAGGGCTTAGGCAGGATATTGGGATCAAATGCCTATTTCCTGCAGACAAGGATTTTGTCGCTCTGTGTGCAAAAGAAGAGAGATTTCCTGACTGCGCTGTTTTGGGTGGAGAAGACGTGTGGAACACTCATTCTGCTGAACATGGGCCAGCTGGGAGAAACGAGTACTAAACAACACACAATGGTTTCAGCCAAGAAAGGGAATGCACCTTATGACATCAGAGGAACTGGAAAGCTGAGCAGAAGAAGGAGCTTCAGATGAGACAAGCAGTTGGCAGTTACAATTCAACTAGAGAAAACATTTGCAAATAAGCACACAGACAAAAATAAAACCAACTCTGAGCAGCCTGGAGCACCAACAGAAAGAACAAAGTTAAAGGAAATTTGTGAAACATTTGCATGCTGACTTCTAAGGCTGCATTTGTGTGTTTTTTTAAAAATAAAACCACCCCAAAATGTATTGCCAATGTGCCTTGAGGATCTCTCAAAAGCATATTTTTCAACTTGAGCTTGTTAAATCTTACAGCCAGTTGCTGGTGGCAAACAATACTGAGCACACTCCGCACCCCCGCTTTTCCCTCCATTTTTTGATACTGATTAACGGTTCTTGCATGAAACTTCGAGGAGTGTATTTCAAATTTCTCCTGCTGGTCCAAACTTTTGCCCATTATTTGCTGTATTTCTTTCCCCTTCCCTTCATTAGTGAAAAGAGAGACAGTTGCACAAATACAAGCTCTGTTTGCTTTCACTGAACTCCCCCATCTGTTCTTTTTGTTGATTCCCTCCCTAAAACCATTATCCTTCTCCTTCATGACATTGCTGGGAAAAAGATTTCATAGCTTGGAAAAACGATTCCACTTAAGCCGATTATGATTTATTGGAAATAAGGAACACACAGAGATAAGCTGCAAAAGAACTAGGAACAATTTTATATAAAATAAAATATAAACTATTTAGTGGGTAATGATGTTTTCTAAAATGAGACGCCTAACTCCTTGAAAGCCTGAGCACAGTCCCAAATATCTAAATCAGTTATTTTCCTATTAGCCTCATTTAAACTGATTTGACTAATCAAAAGGCGCATCTCTTCTAGAAATCACATTCGAAGTATTCAGCTGTAGTTTTTCCATGTGAATGCAGACTTAAAACACAAACTATGTATTGCAGAACAAAAACTACGTATTGCACACATCTATCCAATCTTCCATAGGATCCCACCCTTCATATTCTACCTCACTGTGATCTTCCTTGTTGGTTAAATGATAGTTCAAAAAAGATGTAATTTTAAACTTTCAAAAAGATAAAATTGTATTGTTTACATATGAATAAAGTTGAACTAGGACCGGGCTGTGGCACAGCTATCTGGGAGCCAGCTGCATTAAATCACTACTGACTGAGTCATGAGTTCAAAGCCAATCTGGATCGGAGTGACCTTCCAGCAATTAGTCTATGCAGCCCGAAAGAGAGTTGCAACTGTCAAGTAGGAAATTTAGGTACCGCTTTAAACTAATTTATTACACCATAAAACCTTCCAGGAGCGTGCAGAAGAATGAGGAAGTATTCCATCAAAGGACTCGGTGTCACAATGGATGGTGAAGTGGCAGCTCCCCCTGTGGCCAGAATCAAGCTGGAATTGAGCACACCTTCATGAAACCAGAAATGCCTAGGCTCAGCTGAAATGTTAAATTGTCTCTGTGTATGTCTATATATGTTGTATGTCTAACTGGCATTGAATGTTTGCCATGTATATGTGCATTGTAATCCGCCCTGAGTCCCCGGCGGGGTGAGAAGGGTGGAATATAAATACTGCAATTAATTAATTAATTAATTAATTAAACAAATCTAATGTAATCATAATTTGAAATGGTTTCCTGAACACCCACCAAGAACTATGAGTTAGTGGTCAGTGTTTTCAGCCTAAAGCTCTTGCCTTAAGGTTCCCATTCCACTATTGCAAATAAAAATGGAAAGGGCTGGAGATGGCTGCCTAAAAGTCATGCTGACTTTGCTAACCAGCTTTAACAGAAAGACTAGAAGAGGAAAAACAAGAAGCTGGGTATATCCAATACAACAATTGCAAATGGTATTAAAATGTTTTTCTCCACATATATAGTTATCTCACACATGTAGAGATCACCGGAGAGCCCCTGGTGGTGCAATGGGTTAAACCCTTGTGGTAGCAGGACTGTTGACCGACACGTCAGCAGTTTGAATCCGGGGAGAGTGGGTTGAGCTCCCTCTGTCAGCTCCAGCTCCCCATGCAGGACATGAGAGAAGACTCCCACAAGGATGGTAAAGCATCAAAACGTCCAGGCATCCCCTGGGCAATGTCTTTGCAGACGGCCAATTCTCTCACATCAAAAGCGACTTGCAGTTTCTCAAGTCACTCCTAACATGAAAAAAACCTCCAGAAATTCAAGATATCCTTATGATAAGCAATATATTCATGTTCTCCTGATGTACTATGGAACACCTTTCATATAGGGCACTTCTTGATGACTTCAATAGTTGGAGTGCTCCAAAATACAAAAGGAACCACTGGATGATTCCACAACAAATATGGCAACCAATCTCCAACTTTTAAGAACTACGGTGAAGATGCAACTGTTCAATTATCTTAATATGAAATATTTCTCAAATTTTGCTCTTAATGTTTGGACACATTTTATAAGGTGGCATGCTGATTTCCAAAATATCCTTTTGATTCCCATTTCACACACAGCATATTGGCAAATCTCTATCCAGCAAATACATATGCAACAGAGAATTCCAGGAAATAGAGGCTCTTTGATTCATTGAAGCCGCAGGTCAGATATGTAATCTCTTTGAGGATCTGAAACATGAAAATATCTAAGATATGTGATTTCAGGTAACATGTGAAGTATGCTCTACCTCTTCATATGACACATGCATGAAATGTGTTTTGCAGACTTTATTCAATCTTTAAGCCTATTGATATGGTAATCATGCATACAATGGATGTATTGACTGGGAGAATGGGATTAGCACTGACATGTGCAGGAACTTTGCTTCCCAACATACATATTTTATAGTACTTATTATTATCATATGTATCTGATCTTTATCTCCATATTACAGATTGCAAAAACGGAGGCACGGCCTCAGAAGCATCAAATTAATAGGCTATACAGATCATGGATGAGCTGGAATTTTAATGCAAAGTCCCAGTTTTAAGCCTAACATTCATCACTAGAGCCTACTTGTTTTTCTCTTTTCTATATAAAATGTTGTAGGATGAGCAGAAGAGACTGTTTCCTCCTAAAATACTTACAACACTTCTAAGCAGCTTTCACTGTATTTGAGAGTTCGGTATGAAAGCTGTTTATGTGGGATTGTACATGGAAGAAATACAAAAGGCTTTCCTTGCCAATATGGATCTTCTATTAGAATTGCAGACTAAATTAAAATATGCCAAATGAAAACTTGTATGAAAATGCTTCAAGAAGACATTCCAAGCTCAATCCCCTTTTTTGGCGGGGGAGGGATGGGGTGGGGATTATAACTGCTTAATATGA